AACCCTAAACCCTTAAACCCTAAATGTTAAACCCTAAGCTCTCTGAACCCTTCACCCTACTAACGAGGCCTTCCCAGCCCTCGGCCAGGTCTCCGTCGAAGGCACGCCGCGATCCACCCGTGAGGAAGGGGTAAATCGAGACCGGAACCCGACTGATTTGGCAACACTCCTTGGGTTTAGTGTTCAGGGTTTAGGGTGCAGGGTTCAGGGTTTAGGGTTCAGGGTTCAGGGTTTAAGGTTTCGGGTTCAGCGTTCAGCGTTCAGGGTTTAGGGTTTAGGGTTTAGGGTTCAGGGTTTAGGGTTCAGGGTTAGGGTTCAGCGTTCAGGGTTCAGGGTTTAAGGTTTCGGGTTCAGGGTTCAAGGTTCAGCGTTCAGGGTTCAGGGTTTGTGGTTTTGGGGCCTAGGGCTTCATGCCTAGGGTTCCTGAGCTGACTTGGCAGCACTCCTTTGTTGGGGCATAGGGTGTAGGGCTTAGGGTGTAGGAAGGCTGAAGATCGGTGTGTTTCAGGAGTTGCATAGAGGGTTTACGCGAGTAGAAGGGGGCGCAAGTATCTTTAGAAGGACTTTGGGTGTTACCTGTTTAAGGTACCTTAAGGGGGCCCCGGATCTCAACCTGAAGCGGGCCTAAAGCCTGAAACTCTAAACCCTCAAGACTCAACCGTGGCACCCCAGACCCCTCAGACCCTAATGTAGGGGCCTTAATGATTAGAACAGCGTCTTGAGCTCCTGTATAGTATTCTGAGAAGTTATTTAGGCATTTAGGCTTCTGTATTGCACCCCAAGACACAGGACCCGAATTTCGGTATCCCGGGCTCGGTGACTAGGGAGCTCTTGCCAATGGTGTGAAAAACACGCGGGAACTCCTGTAGGGTTTAGGGTATAGGGTTTAGGGCTTTCGACGACAACCCAGCAATGATCACCAAAGTAGCGTAGCGCAAGCGAATCCAGGTGCCTGCGATGGGAGCTTGCGTGGGATGAAGAAGAAGCTTTAAACCAACAAAAACTACGAATCTCGTTCCTTCGGACCCTGTAGTTCCGGCGAGTGTACGTTATCAGCGTCTGCGGGAACCTAGCCTAAACCCTAAACACTAAACCCTGATCCCTGAACCCTAAACCCTGATCCCTGAACCCCTAAACCCTGATCCCTGAACCCTGAATCCTAAACCCTAAACCCAACAAGCTCCCTACGGTTTTTTCATGCGGACGCGCCTTTGTCGGATGCCTCCGCTTCCATGCTCTTCCTCAGCGTCTAGGTTTGGCGCTGGGGCTTAGGGTTTAGGGTTCAGGGTTCAGGGTTTAGTGTTTCGGGTTTAGGGCTTAGGGTTCAGGGTTTCGGGTTTAGGGTTTAGGGTTTCGGGTTTAGGGTTTCGGGTTTAGGGACTTCGGGTTTAGGATTTCGGGTTTAGGGTTGAGGGTTTAAGGCCGTAGTGTTCAGGGTCTAGGGGTTTGGGCTTGAAGGTTGACAGCATAGAGTTTAGGCCCGTGGGCCTTGAGAACGTCTGAACCCTTAAGAGGAGCAAAGCGTGTCACTCAGCGTGCCGTGGTTTAGGGTTTAGGGTTACCCTAAACCCTAAACCCTAAACCCTAAATCCGAATCGCTCCTCTTCCAGCACTACCAGAAAAACACCGTTCTCAGCCCTGCTTGTAGCTCCACTATACTTGCACACCCCGGACGATCGTAAACACGAATAGCAACGCCAACAAGTGACAGCAAGAACGATGATTCGACTCATGTAGCACTCACAAGAATAACAGTGGTAGTATTGATTTGGTAGTCGTCGTCCCCGTAGCCGCAGCAATAGTAGCAGTAGCCGAAACAGTAGTAGTAGGAACAGAAGTAGTACTAGTAACAGTAGTATCAATAGCAGTTGGCAAAACGTAGCGGTAGTAGTCGTCGTCGCCGCCGTCGCCATCGTCGTAGTCGCAGTGGTAGTGGTAATGGTAGTTGTCGGCATAGTTCGTCGTTGTCGTCACAGTCGCAGGCGCACTCGCAGGCGCAGTTGGAGGCGTAGTCATTCGTAGTCGCGACATAGTCGCTGTTTTAGTCGTTGTCGTCGTCGTCGTGGTCACAGTCGGAGTCGTAGACCACGCAGACGTAGTTGCAATCGACGTCTTAGATGATGTAGTCGAAGTCGTCGACGTGGACGTAGCCGTAGTCGTAGTTGTGGTGGCAATGTAGTCGAAGGATTAGTCGCAGCCGTCGTCGTCGTGGTAGCAAATCGCAATACTGCTAGTAGGAGTACGTAGGTAGTGTGCGCCATCCCAGTGATAGTAGGAAAGAAGTGGTAGTGGTCGTGGCTGTGGTAGTGGTAGCGGTGCTGCCCTGCTCATAATGAGCCCACAGAGATGCAGCCCTAGCTTCAGGCCCTCGCCAGGAGGACAGAAAGCTCCGAGCTTTCGCAATGCCTGATCCAGAGTAAATATCTCGGGCTTGTGGTTTCAAGGTTGCGGCTTCAGGAATCACTCCTAATATGAAGCAGGCTCCGTCTCTAGGAGGGGCGGTCATCGTCTTCATGACGTCGGGCTGTTGGGGATTCAGGATTCAGGGCGTTCTTTATGGTGCTCTCTTGACTGCCACCGTGGAATTCGCCTTGTTGTGCTCAATGTCTGAGGACGTGGTCTCCACTTGCTGGGAGAAGTGCGGTGAGCAAGCACCTGATTTAGGGATGCGACTTGGGGAGCCAAAACCATATCTGATTACACAAGCCTTGAAAGGTCATATCCCCAAAAGGGAACAGGCTTCTATAGCTTGTGCCTTCCATATTGGTAGTTCTCTAACTTAGGGTCCCTTTTTAGGTCCCCAAGATAGTACGGCACCCTTATAAAAAGGACCCTAAAAGGGACCGAATTTTGAAGACTACCCAAAGGTGTGTTCTTGGCCCCAGGGTTTTTTTCGCCGGTTTTGAGATTGCTCGGAGGTGCTCCGAGAAGCTCTCCATGCTACGAGACACGCACGGACTTTGGGTGAACTACTGCAGTAATGATTGAAAAGTTTCCTAACAAAGCTACACAAGCACAGAAGCCAGAGCCCCTCTACCCTTCTTCAGGTTTAGGATTTAGGGCTTGGTATGTCATGATTTGCTCCTTCTACTTCAGAGGATATTAACCCAGCCCTGCAGCCACCGATATCTCTTCAGCTTTCGCGAAATCAACCTAGGATCGAGCTTGGCCAGAATACGCGGAAGGGTTTTTACACGGGTTCCTATACCCGTAACCCACAACTCTATACTTCTTATAGGGTTGTTAATAATTGGGGGTCCTCAAAGACCACGACCAGTTCCCAACCTCAAATCCCGAAGTTTTGACCCAACCCCAAGGCAAAAGCACAACTCAACACCCTGAACCCCAAATGAACCGAGCCCCAAATTGCCAGTTGCAGAGAATAAATGATCCGTAACGTGAGAGCAAACTATGTAATAGGGGTTTAGGGCTTAGGGTTTAGATCCTCGCTATGCATACCTCGAAACTGGGACCCTGTTTCAACAGACAGCGCCAATCTCGCTGCGGCCCCAAGTGGCCCAAGGAAGAGACGTGGCTGCAGCGATACTTCACCTAGAAGCTTCGTTTGTTGTGTTGAAGGCTCATTCTTTCTTTGTCGAATAACTACCACAACGACCGACAAAATAGGGCGCAACAGCCTTTTGCTCACGGTCTTGTGCTCACACCTGATAAGGCGTCGAGGAAACGACCGACAAAAACCAGGGCACAGCAGACACCCCACCGGGATGATGACAGTGACTTTGGGTACTGACCCCATACAGCAACAGTCTGTAATCTGGGTACTATTAAGGGCCCATATATATATATATATATATGAGGCAGGAACCTTTATGTATGATATGATGATCCTTCTTTGCTTTAGAACTAGTCT